CATCATTTATAGCGCCCTCTGTGGTAGAAATTGTTTATTGTATATGATAGACCTTAATACATGAATACTAAAATTAGTGACAAATATTATGTCAGTTAATAATCTTTTGACTTTAATATGTTCAAACAATTAAACAATGTATTGTGGTTACTGAAATGTTTTTAACTTTTATTTACAGTAACTACATTTTGGAGAGCCCACATTGAGAGTGTTACTAGGTAAGTTGCTATGGTGGTAATGCTACATGAAGGCTTAAATATTTTTAAAATTTATAAATTATTTGTAAAACATTGGCCCTGGAAGCTTTTAAATATGTTAAAACATTTTGACAAACAATTGTATTCTGTTGTGTAAAATATTAAATTTGTGTTTTTTTTGCTTAACTTATTCAGCATTGATCTGGTTAATGAGCATAATTTAATATTGACATCGTCATTAGATTTCACTGTTAGATTATGGACCTTTGATGGGGAGTATGTTGGTAAGTAGCTATTTATAGACACATATTGATACATTGTTGCTATGTTTACAATTATACATTCTAGATATGTATATCTCTTTGTCTCTGTAAACAATTCATATCCCATGTTTTATTTGTTTTACTATAAATCTAGGTCAGCCTTTGACTAAGAATCCTTGTTGTGTAGATTTGTTGTGTTTTGTTAATGTCCCTGAAGATACAAACTGTCTGTTGGGATTTGCTATATCTTTTACATTTATTAATTTAATTTAACAATGAAAAAATAAATTCCATCGAATTTAAAACCAAATGAATGTGTTTAGGGAATATTATTGCATTTTAAATATCCTAATAATTTTTGTGATATTTTATTTATTTTACAATACATACTTAATTATAAATGGATAAATTTGCAATTACCAGTATGGTATATAGGCAATTAATTGTTGGCTAAAAATAAATGGTTACTATTACCCTACCTTGTCATTTTTGATTGAATTTGGCTATGGATTCTCTCATTTCATGTTGAAAATTTATTTTAGACAAATTAGACATCATTTACAATTTTTGAGTACGTTGGACTACAAGTTAACAGGAACAAAAGTTTAATCATACAGTTTATTGACTGTTGAGTATGTAATTGTATTATTAATGCTATAATTGAATTGTATTATAGGAACTTTTGGTCAACAAGAACCCTGGGATATCTATAATAGATCCACATTTGCACATCCAATGGTACCTTATGATGTTTTAGTAGATCCACAGAGTCTACCAAATCACCCAATATTAGACGGAAAACCATCAGCTGCACAGATCATACATGCAGAGTCGCTAGAAAACGGTGAAAACCAATCAGAGGAAGAAGTCCCCTATGAAAGGAAAGAAGAAAAACGGGTAATTATTGTTACAGTAACTATTGTGATTATATAGTGTCAAAGACCATCTGCTTATAGTATAATGACGCATAATGTATGAACAATCTGTGTATAAAGATCCTCTCAAAAATAGTTTTACTGATTTGCCTTTGTTTAGAGACCAAAATAATAATTATGATTCTGTTTATAAAACAAGTCAAACTTGTTGATTTTGATCAACTCAGTATGATCCCATTAGAGGTCAAATCCTTGAAAAAATAATCTAACCTCCATATAAACACCATCTGTCTATAAAGTCTCTTGAGTGTTCACTATAAACAGGTTTGACTGTGGTTACAGTGTAGCTTTTCAGCTAATAAACAAGAAACTATTTTTTAATGATATAATTAATGTCATACTTCATAATAATCTAGACTTTATTTTTCAAAAGCTGCTACAATCTGATTATTTTAAATTTAGTTTTTATAAATAATTCTTGATGACTTACAGAATGATACTGTTGATATTACCAATTACTTGGGTATGAAAACCCAGTTTGTTTACGATGATGACATGATCCAAGAAGAATTAAAAGCTAAACCTTATTTGGACGGCACTGGAAAGAGGTATGGTAGAATATGTAATGTAGTTCTTCATTTAGTGCGTGTGTGTCCATGACACATTTTCAATATATTTGTGACTAAATAGGGAAAATTAGTCAGGAAGTATCCATAAGTTAGGGGACTTTATTTAAAGTAGAGTGAAGTAAAGGAGTACATTCTTTTACACACGTTGTGTGGGACCCATGTTCAACATGACTATTGGAAACAACTGTTGCACTTTAATTATTCACCTATTCACCTAAAGAAATGATGACAATCTCAAAATAACATTGGTTTGTGAATAGCATTTGTCAAGATTACAATATCGTAATGAAAGTAGATCATTTTGTGACTTGACTTTTTCTGTATTTCAGTGATTTTTCATGAATCCAAAGAAAGTTTATTAAAGTTATTGCAATATTTTCAACGTTACAGCAGTTATAAAAATTGTTGTTGCTATTCCAGTTTTTGATTTGTTTGAATTAAATGATGTCATGCATATTCATGAGAAGATAATTGTTCATTGCGTCAAACACCACTGTAAAAAAAAAAGATACTTTAAAAATAACATTTACCATTAAAATCAGATTAAATGAAAATAGATACTGATATACTGACAACTCAAATCAATACTGTTATTTTCAACTCAACTTTGTGACCGTGCCTGAAAATATTATTCGAAAAGGTTTTGTATCCTCCTAACTTTTCTTGATTCAGATAGTCTCACCTTTGTTTTACAGACTGCGACATGAGAAACATAAACCACGTCCAAAAGACAGGGGAGGACCAAATGCATATCAGAATCTCAAATGCTTTGATTTAGATGACACACCGCCAGTCATACAGCGCAAAATGCAGGAAAAGTCTGATCAACTATTTACACTTTAGCCATGAAATCAGGATTTGAATTAAACATTTTTTTTTTTTTCCATTCATGTATTTTTGTTTTTTGTATATATGTATCACCATACATCAGAATCTACTTTACATGAACTTACATAATGCCTTGCATGTTCCATCCACTTTGCATAAACTTACATAATGCCTTGCATGTTCCATTCACTTTGCATAAACTTACATAATGCCTTGCATGTTTTATCCACAAAGCATAAACTTACATGTACATAATGCCTTGCATGTTCCATCCACAAAGCATAAACTTACATAATGCCTTGCATGTTCCATCCACAAAGCATAAACTTACATAATGCCTTGCATGTTCCATCCACAAAGCATAAACTTACATAATGCCTTGCATGTTTTATCCACAAAGCATTATTTTTATTGGTAGATATTGACATGGCAATTCATATTTGTTGTAATTTCGACATTTTGTATTTTTGTAAATCTAATGCCACTGCTTCTATATTTGATAGAACAACTTTATTGCTTGTTAAAAAATTAAGAATATCAATTTTAAAATAATTGTACATAACATTAAATTTTGAAAGTTACAAAAGCCTACACAGGGTGGTTTGTTTATTTCAGAGAAAAACAGATTGTTGTCAATGTTCTATGTGTGGGTAGATAGGGGGTCAGTGTGAGTGTCAGTAGTTGGCTAGAAGTAATCATGTGATATATTTGCATGAGGCTCTCTAAGTTTGTGAAAGATATTACATTGCTGATGCTGATCTTCATTTGTACTGCAAAAGATTTTTTAACTGCTTTCTCTGACGAGGAAATTCAATAATCAAAGTTTTCAGAAGATTGATTAATATATTAATAGATTATTATTTGTAAATATCAAGGCTATAATTGTATGTAGATATAAAAGTGGAAAGTAAGACAGCCAAGGAACTTTTATATATGATATGTTTTCTAAAAAGCTTTGATCAATTATATGCACTCACCTGCCAGTTTTGCTGCTATGGTGGTTTATTTTCGGTTGAAATATATATCGAATTAATATTTTTTTTTTTATGTAATATTTTATTATTTCTGTGTAAATATTAATATGTGTAAAATTGTCAAAGTTTTTTTTGTGCTTTTTTTTTTTTTTTTTTTTTTTTTTCCATCCACACCTTATTGTAATTTAATTCAAGATCCTATAAAGGATACGATATAAATAAAGTTTATTATTATTATTCATTTCTTCATAATTATTCTGCTAAATAAGACTGGGTTTCAAAAACTAGATTTAAATATTTTGACCAATTTTCAATTCAATATGGCTGCCAGACTAGGATGGCTTTGTTTCAGATACCTCTACTTATTTTTATTCATTTGGTGTGTATTTTTTCACTTGTTATAGCTGTATCCCTTCTTGCATATCCACTACAAAGCCACTGATCAAAATCGTGTAAGCAATGATTGGAAATATGGACAACATATACAATTCTATGGAAGATTTAATTCTAACAGCAGTGCATGAAGATGAATTATTTTATAGAAGAAAAAGAATTCTAGTTATTTTTTTTTGCATTCATTAATGTCAGTTCATCATAATAAAACAAACATACTTGTATTGTTATCTTCTTTCATTTTCGTACAAATCAACGTACTCAGAGATAAAAGACCTCTGGTTGTCCAGATTTTATAAACTTGTTATTCACATGAAATTCCATAACAGTTGTTTGTGCTTTTCACTCTGAAAACACCGGCAGTTATATGCTGTTCCTTACACAACTTACACTGTAATGTATCTAATTCAATCTACTTATATGGATTAATTTTTGGATTACCTAAATTCATACACAGACAAATTCAATGAAATTAAATAATGGTTATTTTAAAAGCTTTGGAGAAATTTGATATTTGTAACTTTCAGTATGAAGTCTGAGAGTACTGTAAATGCATTAAATATTCACAAAGTATTAATTTTATTGATAAGTGAAACCTCCCAAAGTAATTTCATGTGAGAATTCCAAAAAAAAATTTGTTTACCCCGGTAATATCAAACCTGGGATTTTAAAACCCAATACAAGATTTTGAAAACTGTAAATAAATCCTGAAAATGAATGTAGCATATTTGCTCTATTATCACATGCATATATTTGTAAGATCCTGATGTGAACTAGAGCAAACACAGTGTATGTTGAGATGGTTGTACAGCATTGTATTTTACGAAATATTTGTCAAAAATTTATTTGATATTGAATTATGTAACTTTGTTCATCCATTTTAGTTACAAATAATGCAGCTGTTAGTGTGTACATACCATGAAATAAATGTATCACAATATTTGTGATATGTGTATATTTCTGGAGTGTGATGCAAGACATGATCCAGATTCCACTCCACATTCTTTTCAGTTGTACGTACTGTCAGGATATCTGATTCTGGGCTGCCACATTGTTCAGTGTGTACAGCGAGTTTAAAACGTCCACTTGTATCCTTTATGTGGTTTGGTATGCAATTGGTTATGACATATTCACTATGTTCAATTACCCGCCATAGACTCCGGTCAGTCAAAATGACTATTTAGGCAGCGATTCTGCCAATGACAGAGAGATAGAATCTTGGGAACAAGATTCTTTTCCCTTACGTCACGAACCACGTGACCGAGCCCATATGGCGACGCCATTACGGCTGGATATCCACTCTGGTTCCTTTCTTTCCGCATCGAGGACTTAGACCAATGCTACGGAAAGAATAGGGTGGATGGGGGAGGGGAACCCAGAGTCTATGGTGGGTATGAACTATGTGTAATATGTAATATAGTCTTTATTGAAGTCGTATCCTAAAAATGGACATAGATCTAAGTACAAGTCATTGAAAATGACACAGTCCCTGTTAAATTTTTGAAAGTTCTCTTTGTGCTCGTCATATTAAAGCGAAGGGGTTGTTGCGAGAGTGTCCTTGAAACTTGAGTTTCAAGTGGCGTATACAACAGTTTGTTTATTTACATCAAAACACATGTAGTAGTAATATTGCCAAAAATAAAAACAGCCGTTATTCGGCCATCTTTGATCTGATTATGAAACTCACTGATATGTATGATGTATGTGCCAAATACGAATGAAAATGGTACATAAATTGCGGAAATATAGTAGTAAGGCCAAAAAGTCAGATGGCTGTCAATCGGTCATCCTTGACCAGATTTTGAAACAAATTGTCATGGACATGCATCCTAACATGTATAAAGTACATGTATGTGCCAAATTTGAATGAAAACTGACAGAGCACATCCAAGATACCGCATAAAAAACAAAACAAGATGCCTGCCAGTCTACCATCTTTGATCCAATTGCGAAATAAATCGTCATGGACATGTATCCTAACATGTATATTCTATGTACCAAGTTTGAATGACAACTGACAAAGCATGTCCAAAATACAACATTTTCAAAAAACAAGATGGCTGCCAGTCGGCCACTTTGAATCGAATCGCTAAGCCACTGCATGTGCATATGTCCCACATAAGGTACTAGGCACATGCAAAAAATGAAAGAAATCGGTTCACAGGATTCTGAAATATGACTGGACAGATTGACGCTGAGACAGACACAGGAACTCACGGATGGTCGGGGACATTTATCCTAGCATGTATGATCTATGTACTAAATTTGAATGAAAACTGACAAAGCATGTCCAAAATATGACATTTTCAAAAAACATGATGACTGCCAGTCGGCCATTTTTGATCCAATTGTAATAAATCGTCATGAACAAGTATCCTAACATGTATAATCTATGTACCAAGTTTGAATGAAAACTGACAAAGCATGTCCAAAATACAAAATTTTCAAAAAACATGATTGCTGCCAGTCGGCCCTTTTGAATCGAATCGCTAAACCACTGCATGTGCATATGTCCCACATAAAGTACTAGGCACACGCGCGGACGCACGGACGGAGACCGAATTATAAGTCCCAGTTTTCGGACTTCGTCCGAACGGGGACTAATAAAGCATGGTTGTCATTCCATGTCAGAAACATTGAATGTGTGAATAGGCGGGTTCTGAGAACCCTTTGCCTAAATTCACTACGTTTACTATTACCCACCATAGACTCTGGTCAGTCAAAATGACTATTTTGAACTGTAGGCAGAGTCAGACGCCGAAAGGTGGCGGGTTTTCCGAGCCTAGGTCTGACCGTGGACGTACTATCAGGTGTGAATCACCGTGCAGCGTCCATCTCTAGTACATCCATGGTCTGACATATGGCTCCAAAACTGCGCCTCAAGTCAACTATTTTGAATCTAATCTGTGAACAAACAGCCTGTCAGCTGATATAGCTCTTCTGTATAGTTGAAAATAAAATGTCTACATATAAAATATCAAAACAATTGAGCTACCCATTTTAAATAACTCAAAAATAGCATTTTTTTTACCAAGAATTGTAGAATATAAAGTATCACCATGAAATGAACAAATCTGACTATAGTCAGGTTGCCAGCCCCAGTTTTTTGGGAAAAGCGTAAAAGTGCGTATGACTTAGGTTTTTTGGCTGAAATGTGTTCTCCAGTATGTCTGCTTCAAAATTCTGATGGGTGCCCAGTTTGCACCCTTGAGCATTTTTTCTAATTTGCATAAATCCAAAATGGCTGCCAATGACGATCACGCATGCTATTATGATGATATATTCGCATCCAGATAGAAATTTCAACTGCTGTATAATATGCAAATTGAGTATTGAGGCCCTCAAAATAAATATTAACTCGCATGTTTGTTAAATTTATCATTTGCATAAATACCTCATTTGCATAAATCCAAAATGAATGCCAGAGACGATGAAACATGCTAATAATGGCACATTGGGTCCTGAGAATACAATTTGACCTTATCCATTCTTTATTTGCATATATATATATAT